CAAATAAGTCGTTGGATCAAAAATACACGGTTTTCCAATAAGCGGTGTTGTTTTATTATTGAAAGAAAATTCGATTTTTTGAGATATCTATTTCAACGATGTCAGCCAAATGGTCGCCAAGATTGCGCTTACAGGGGCGTATTCTTTTTAAGAAATATTCCATAACCAAATTAAAAAGTGGCCGCGGTATGCCCTCAATACCTTCACGAATTCCATTTTTGAGGTCTTGAATCGACGTTGGCTTGTTGGCATAGATCTTGTCTTTCATATGACCCCAAAGGAAGAAGTCGCAAGGTGTTAAAACACAAAATCTCGGTGGCCAATCGCTATCACTTCTACGAGAGATAACACGCTCTGTAAATCGTCGGTGTTGTTGCTAGTGTGGCACGTAGCGCATTCTTGTTGAAAGTAAACGCTGTCCAGATCAATACCATCGAATTCCGGCAATAAAAAATAATCAATCATCTCTCGATAGCACAATCCATTCACCACTACTCTTAACCCAAATTCATTTTTTAAAAAGGCAAGGTCACCAAACAAAACAGTTACACATTGAGAATGAAGAGGAATTACAACAATAAATCGTGAGATTTTCGAGCAGCAGTTTTTCTTATTGATGTAGCCATCAAGGTCAATATGATTTTTCAATGAAACTCCGGGTCATTTTAAGCCGGTATGAGTTCTTGTGTAGCTGAATTTTTGTAAACCTTAAGGCCCAAGTATGCAAAATACGGCGCAGAATGGCCGATTTCAAAGAACGACGAGAAATGAACAAACATGGCTTTCCCGTCAAGGTGCTTCACGGCGACCGAAAAATGTTTTAGTTCTACGAGCCCTCTTTGCCGGGTTTTCACAACTTTAATAGCGAATTTGTTTAATTTTAGTGCGTTGGTGAAGGGTCTATCGTTCCATTTTTATTACGGGCGTAGTTTTTACTTGCCAAATTTTAAGAAACTACAGCTACAAAAGTGACATCTACAGGAATAAAAAGCACCTCTTATTGGAAGATCATTTATAATGAAAAGAAAGACTTAATATTTTGACTTAGATGGTGGTGAATTAAGAGTTTTTATTGTTGTTTACTATATGAATTTGAATAAAAATTGGCCACAGTAGCGGATGGGCGCGTCTGCTTGATAAAAATAATATCCAAGCATTTTACTGCTGTTAATTTCCATGTTCAGTACATCTGACCTTAGTCTGTTTATAATATGTATGTAGACTTAGATTAATGCTTAGGTAATATTTTTGCCTGACGGTGTATGCTTATATATGTATGTATATACAAATATGTTTTATTGCAGCAGATAAAAAAAATTAAAAGATATTTTAAACTCGAAATAAATTTTCATATTTAATAGTGATAGCATTCAAAAGATATCACCTTTTCATGAAATTTTTCATGGCACAAAAACAAAAAAATATATCATTTTATTTGTGGTTGTGTGGAATTAGAAATTCGGGCATTAGAAATTGAAAGCTAATGGAGAAAGTGTAAACTTGGAGGTGTTCAGATCGAATTATCAATGGAATGGTTCTATCAAGTCTTCGCATGATGAACAACCATATGTGCGACCTTTTCGAACAAAATATAATATGTTATATGCTCTTAGATAAGTTTTTGATCAAGTGTAGACCAAAACCTCGCAGCAGAACAAATGTTATGGTAGTCCCATTTCGAATTTTCAGTACCAATCTGTACAGATGCCTTTTTGACAGGTTCATGACGCAAACTTTCAAGTCTGATAAATCGTATGTCGTTTATATGTTACAATAATCCGGCCTGACCGGTTCTGACAAGTGATCGTTTAACTGCATCTGTGCACCAAGTTTTTTTTTACGATGAACCCAACTCCCGCCCAACCGAACGGGGGGGGCGCGTCTGAGGGAAATCGAAAAATCCAACAGAGCGGTGACCGAAAACCAATAACAGTCCGGACTGCAGTCGCGGTTACACTTGCCTTTTACACTAAACAGCTACAGATTTGTTCATCAGCTGAGAGCAGAAAAGCGAGTCAGAGGAATCAATGTTGGGGAAATGTGTAACAAAATCGTCACACAAAGATTTAAAAGGGACGTGCATTTCAAAGTTTGTTCTGCACGAGCCCAATGAAATGGACCTTAAGTGTCTAGATGAAAATCTCGAGAACTAAGGAACGAAATCAACTTAGCTCCTTATTCTTATCAAAACGGTAATTTACGAAATATTGTTGGAAAAACATCAAAACACCGATATCGGGAACGGCCGAAAATCCCTTCAGGGGTTATACATAAAACGATGATCATAAAAAGTAGAGATCATTTGATGTCACGGTTACAAGCGAGGAGGCTTTAGAATACTTTTTGCCAACAGTTTCCACTTTGGACAGAATGTGCCATTGAAAAAAACTTCTCTGTCGAGAAACAAAGGTGGCGTGAAAGTCGACAACTTTTATGAGTCAACTGTGAGAGTCTCCGAAGAAATATGCTTATGTATATATAAAAACTAGACCCAGACCCAGCGAATATGGCCTCACCTTAAATACATGCCTTTATATTGCATTCGGAGTGGTAATGAAGTATACACGTATGTAGACAATTCAGATCAACAAATGAACTCGATCAGCAAGCACGAACAAACCACAAAGATAGTTTGTCAGCACGCGAGCATGGGCAAATCTCATAAAATTACTTAAATTAAATTAAGCGGATTCAGACGAACAATTGGCATAGCGCATGCTACGGAATTGCTCGGCTTTTACGCACTTAAATGCAAGAAAACGAATCCCGAATATGCATGGGCGTGCTTTCCAACAAAGCTTCTTCTTAAGTCAACGAATGATGCCATCTATCGGGTTATGGAATGGACAAAACCAATCAAACATCTGCTCGGTGAATCTTGGTCCACTTCTGGAAAATTTTTTACATTAATCCAAACCATAGAAACGACTTTTTCGAATAGATCGGTCCTAGGTACTATTCCTGGAAACAAAAGTGATGTTCCTGCTAAATTGAGCAAAAGGCTACCTATGTATCAAATTTCTGGTCTGCTTCCGGGACAGAAATGCAGTCTTGCTGTCAATCTTAGCAAAAAGCTACCTATATACTGAATTTCAAGTAAATTAAACCACTTCTCGAAAAGAAGTGTAGTCTTCATGTTAATCTAAGCCAAAAGCCACTTTCAAGTAATCAGTCTCTGGTCCACTTTCCGGAGAAAAGCAGAGTATTCCTGTTAATCTAAGAAAAAAGCCACCTATGGACTGAATTTCAAGAAAATTGAACTATAAATAAACTTCTTTCGAATAGGTCAGTTCCTGATCCACTTCCAGGAAAATTTGTTTCATGAAACTCTTTCCAGGTATCATAGAAACAGTCTGACGAAATTTCAAGCCAGTCGGACGCTTACTTTTAAAGAGCACCCGTTTCAAACGGACTTGAGAGTTTTTTGAATAGGTCAGCCCCCGCTCCGTAGGGAATTGTAGTCCTCCTGTTAGTCTAAACAAAAATACACCTGTTTACCGAATATCAAGTAAGTCGATCCATAAATCAGATTGTTTTCGAATAGACAAGTCCCAGTTTCTCTACAACCTTTACGCACATCTAACGTTTATCATACAAAATTTCAGCAAAATCGAGTAAGCCATTGCGAAGGAGTATGTCCTCATAGCCAAATTGGCGCTTTGTAACCCTCCATCAATTAATTTTCTATAGCTTTTGGATTTTGGTCGTACCAGGATTTGCTAAATTACATTAGTCTACAAAGTCTTTGAAATTTAAAGGAACTACCTAACCCACTGTGACCACCAGTGGTTCCAATGGCTTGATTTTACTATAAAATCGTCCGAAAGGCACGGGATTTTTCGGAGGCATGTACATGCATATATTCCTATATACAAACATTAAAGCAACTTTCATTTCATTGAAGATGATGCTAAATCAAATTTTAACATCGGATTTTAACAAAAAGTACTCATTTAGGCATTTAATCATTTTTATTGAATTGCATATTGGATGGTTATTATTTTTTTAAAATTTCCAACTTGAGCGATTGATTGGTGAGTTATTATTGAACAATGTGGCATACAGTTTTCTGTTTATGAACACATAAATTATAAATATTAAGAAACAAAATTTTTTTCGCTGAATTTGTTTCAAAAATTTTGCAAAATTTCATTCAAAAACACATAAATTCAAATAAATATTTTTTTTATGAACTGTTATGACACTATTTAATTTATAGCGCAATATAAATGAAAATTTTTGTATTTTTTTGTTTTAGTTTTGATTGCCACCTTAGCTCTGAAGCTTAAAACATACTCAAGCAGCTTAAAACCAATAAAATTTTCAACTTTGGAAACGCGTTACTCACACATCACTTCCACATCAATTGACATATTTATAGCCGCAATATCGACGAGTGTTTAACTGTTTCACGCTTGCAAATGGTGATTTAAAAATATTCACTTTATTGCCTTTGTTCATTCATAGATTCGCTTAACAATATTTACTACTTTTAAGCGCACACACACACACACACTGACATACACTTATGTATATCAGTAATTGCAAAGTATGTATTTGTATTTGTATGTGGCCAGAAAGTCTGAGAAAGTCAACCAAGAACGTTCGCTGATATATCTTTCGTCCCCCACAGCACCGTTAAGTTTTTTGCCCAAACACCTCAAGGCCAATCGTGGGCGATTAAGAACTTAACAAGAAATAAATTTCCTTTTGAACGCTCACCATGGACTGTAGTCGCGATCGCGTGTATGTGCTGGTATACTGTTACTTGCAGTAGTTGTAAGGTATATATATATATATAAACATAAGCACCTGAACTAGTAACTTCGTACTTCGAAAGCCATCAACAACAATTACTGCCACCGTTATTTGACATCACAACTCTTATACAATTCTTCACTTTTACTTTGCTTATAACTGTCACAGGCAGGATTTCACTTTATCGCCTGCTATCTTTCTCCGAATTCGAAATTTAATTCAATAGAATGGTACTAACTCACACATTTATTTGGTGTTTGTTTTCTGGTGTTTTATCCTCTGCAGTCAGTGTTAATCCTCTACAAATTGCCGCCCAATCTCAGTTTCCATGGAATATCAAACAGTGGCGATTTCATTTTCTTTCTTGCATTGCATTATTTTGCTCTCACGAATTTTAATCCCAATTTTATTTCATTAACTACGAAAAGCAAGCGAATATTTTTGCTTGATCTCACCCTCAGGAAGCGTCAACAAACTGAATGCCAATGGCATGGGCCGTGTGTGTGAAATGTTGTTGGAAATGTGTCGTAACGTCACGTATAATTTTGATTATTTAAAATTGAATTTTATGGGTGTTTCGCACAACATATGCGATATACATTAATGTCGCGATAATGAGACTATATGTATGTATGTACATGATTAAAGCTGATAAGACGGCTGAGTGGTGCTTGTGGCAATATCGCGACCACTATTCATACGTATAAATATGTTTAAATAAAAGTAATGACAACACCTGCAATCAGTACAAACTCTGAGACAGTAACCCACGGTAAATCTCTACAAACAATGTACAATTAGGCAGCGCTTCCCTCCCATCGAGGGTTTTGAGAGCTTAACCATGTGCAGAGAGTGTATTCAGTCAACCAGTCGCAGCGCTGCTCGGAGTAGTTGCATAAACGCGTAGTAACGAGTTAAAATCTTTATAAGAGGATTTTTTTATTATTTTCTCTTACAAAATTAAGATTTGCTTGCCGGTTATTAACCTGCTTACACCCCATAGCCGTAAAGATTTGCGCGGGGACTGGAAATGTAAGTAAGGTAACACCAACAGGTGTTAATTAGGAAATGGACTACATTAACTACTTACACATCGCATCCCTTGGTAATGTTATAAATCCAAAAAAATTGGTAAAAACCGCACTGACTTTTAAGTTGTCGGTATTTGAAGTATAGAAAAGAAACTTATTTATATTATATTGGTTTCACATTAACACTATTCACGGTAAATGGAGGCGAAGAAATTTCGAAAAGGTGTATTGTTATTGCCAGTTAATATCTGAAATATTTTATACAGATGTTTTTTTTACTTTTTTACTAGCTTGGTGAATACAAATAAGATCGCGAGTGCATGGGTCATACTATGTTACTTTCACGGTAATTCCTGGTGTCTTAAAAAATTTTCTGTCAACCTACATAAGTTATCCAGTGGCATGGAGAGCTTTTATGCAAACGGTTGTTAAATAAATATCTGTGCTTATCTGATATTTTACTGTCTTCTAAGAAGAGGCAATCAAAGAAGCTTCACAAAACCTTCTTAATTACACTCAAATCCAAAGGAAAACTACTTCTTTAACATATCTACATATGTAAATACAATAAAATGTGTGCTTCTCAGTGTGAAACAATATATTTTTTTAATTATAAATGAAAATTCTTATCTTAAGCTGTCACCATACAAGACCAGAAATAGGTGTGAAATTTTCCATTAAAATTCAATAGTTTTAAAGAGGGACTGGAATTATGCATTAACATATGCCTATTCTGTCGAGGTAACAAAATTTACTTTGGTATTAAAATTTACCATTCAAGAAATTTTGTTACTATTTTGTATTCTGAGTTCACTGTCACCCTGTAAATTTTGTTACCAGCGATTTGGGAGGTAACTAGAGATAAAATCTACTGTTTGAGTTTGTGTTGTAAGTTTGAGAAAAAATAAAAAACCAAAATGGGTACGCATATTTTAGGCCTGGAATTCATTGAAGATGAAGAAGTTTGCGAGAAAAAATGGCTCCTTGAATTCGGAAGATAGTGTTTTCATTCAGCTTTTTTTGTCCCTTAGGCATATTTTCCATCTGAGTGTTCAGATATTTATGATTTAATAAGCAAATAAATAAAACTTTATTTTATTTTAATTTATTATGAAGTGCACTGTCTTCCATTTCGATGTGAATAATCGTCTTTTTTACTTTACAAACTGTCAAATTTAATTTGACAAGAACGAGAAACGATTTTTCAAACATTGTAGTCAGTACGCCAGAATACCAAATTCAATTTCGGGTGTTAAAAAAAGTAACAAAATTTATTTTACCGGTAACACTGAGTGTAGGTCGGTAAAAGTACCTTTGGAAAACATGCGAACACGGTTGCCATACTTCTTCCTTCTTGTTTGCTTGTTTTCTAGTTTGAATCTGTAGTAAGGAGATTATATATTTGGAAAATCCGTGCTCGAACTCATAACCATCCGTTCGACAGTGCAAACTGCTAACCACTTGGCTCCTGCCGACACCATTGAAGATTACAAAACGTTTGCCCCCTTTTTAATTGCTATTGCACGCTTATGACTTGCTCTCATTTTACGCTTTATCATGTGCAACCTTTCACTGATAATAACTCACAAAGATATCTGCCGAACGCGTATTGATAATGCTAGCACACACACGCAGTACAAGTAGCACCTGCTTAACATTATGAGCGCCTATTTCTATTTTTGATTACAGAAACCTGTCGATTACACTGTAGAAACGAATGTTGGAAAGAAATCTTCACATTTTTCAAATCTTTTTGTCATTAGCGTGATTACGTTATCTAGAGCACTTTGGTGGATGAATATTGGTTATGTGACAGTGTGTGAGTATAATTCTGAAAATGTATTATTGTATTACTGAGAATAGATACTTGTACATATATGATATCGTAGAAGAAGAATAGAAGTGCAGAGCTTTCGGAAGAAAAGTGGTTTACTCTTACATTAATTTAGCTACTCGTCACTTCGTCGAAAAGTTTTTGAGCTTATCAAAAAAAAAAGTATAATTTTACACAGTCCTAAGCTGTTCTATGACTGTTAGCTCCAAGCGGAGGCTTTCTACCTTTCCGTCCGCCAAGAAATACAAATCTACTATGTTATGTGACAATTTAAGTGTTTCCAATATGTTCGCGCAATTTTTAAAACATGTCTTACATATATCATTTGATAAATCTAAAACATTCTTTCAGTTAAGGTCCCGATTCCTACCTGTTTTCTGAACAGTTATGCCACAAACTGAACTTCCCCTCTCAAACAGAGTGTGCTCCATACAATATGGAAACTGAGGTATTGGAATAATATCTGCAGATAACCTTACGTTTTCGACGTCCTCACTACTTTCCAATTCCCAACACGGGTTATGTAAAGTAAAATCAACACTAAGAAATTTGATTGAATTTGTGTTATATCTCTACAGCCTTTAGAGATAATGAGCAAACTGACGCTATCCACACCGACTTCAGTAAAGCATTCGTTAGAGTTAATCACTCAATTCTCATCAGGATTTCCTCAAAGGAGTTATCTCGAGCTGACTCTGTTTGTGTTATTTATAAATGATACATCTTCGCCGAAAGAGGTTTGTTACAAACAGATGTAGACTATTTAACTGTTTGCTATGATAACAACGACATGTCTTTGAACCTTCAGAAATATGAGACCTTGTGCTTTTGCGAAGACTTATTCAATCTTCTAGCTAGAGTTAACAGCTTCTTCTTCTTCTGTATTGGCATTGGCATCGCTTACGCGAATACTGCCGAATCAATATTTGGCGCGACATGGAAGTGCCAAATGAAACCAGGTCACTCACCACCTGATCCTTCCAACGGAGTGGAGATATTCCTCTTCCTCTGCTTCCACTAGCGGGCACTGTATCGAATACTTTGAAAGCTGGAGTGCTTTCATCCATTCGGACGACATGGCCTAGCCAGCATAGCCGCTGTCTCTTCATTCGCTGAACTTTGTCAATATCATAGTATAGCTCGTACAGCCTGTGGTATTCGCCGTTGCCAATACTCAAAGGATCATAAATCTTACGCAAGACTTTTGCCCCGAAGACTCCTAGGGCCGACTCATCAGACTTCGTCATCGTCCACGTTTCTGCGCCATCTAGTACGACTGATATGATGAGCCCTCTGTCTTGTATTCCAAAGCTGACATTATTATTGGTATTTAGTACTCGAGTTGTCTACGACCTTGAAGTAATGACTGTGAACAATGTAGTCGGATTGGTCAATAATTGAAATACCAGGTCTAAAACCATTCTGATGAGGTCCAAACAGTTTGTTGACGGTTTTAGTCACAAAACGCAGGTTGGGAAAGTGTTCGCTTCATAAATTTAATATGCTTAGGGCATCGATAGTTAGATCACGTCTTTATATCCTACAAGAGTTTGCTCCAGTCATGAAACCTTCTGTAAGTCGTCGTATCTTCTTATAGAATTTTCGAACATTATCCTTGTCGGCCAGCTTGTCCAGCTCTTCATACTTATGCACTTCGGCCTCTTTCTTTTTTTTCTGTAAACGCTCAGCTTCAGCTCTCGGTTTCTATACCACTCCACACAAGTTGGGATTAAGCAATTAGACATACCTCTCGTACCAGTTGTTTTTCTGAAACTGCCTGAAATCATTTGTTTCCGTAGAGGGAGTTTAAAATGCCGTTCCACAGTTCCCTTATATGAAGTTGCTGAAGAGTGGGAGAGTACGAAACATTAGCGGGGGTCTCCATCAATAGTCTTAACCAAGTGTACAACTTTGTTGATTTGGGGGCTATGATGTTCCCCAGGCTCAAGTTCCACCGTCATATCAATACCACAATCTTAAGAGCTAGAAATAATTTAGCCTTTGTCAAATGATGGTCAAAAGAATTTAAAGACTCTTTTGTAACTAAAGCACTTTGGTGAGGATAATATTAAAATATGGTTCACTGATATGGAACCCCAAAAACACAATTTTCATTTTTTGCATTAAGACACTTCCGACGCAACTCTACGATAAATTTTTTCCCTATACCAACCGCTTAAAGCTTCTCTCTCTCTCTCGTCTACCCACCTAATTGTTCTTCGCTCTTTTCTGAGATAAACTTTTCTGAGATAAACTCTAAGGCTCCAACTTGTTGCAGTTTAGATCGTCATTAAAGTCATGTAAAACAAATTATAAACTGAATGACTCATTTCACCGCTAGTGACCCGATTTTAATGTACTTTATTATTTATTCCAGCACCTTCGACCTATCAGACTACCTTTCAGCATCAAAAACTCTATTATTGCTTCTCTCATCAGTTTAATTTTAAAATTCCTTAACTACGAAATTCCAACTGTTGTATGGTATAAATATGGGTGAGTTCCAAAATGTCAGTTGCAGAGCTTCTCCCGCATTCCTAAATGCAACTGTGCAAACTTTGACGATTTATTATGTTCCAAAATGCATTGATAAGGTTTGCAAGGCTTTGTTTTATCATAAATTCTTAACGTCGAAGAAATGTCAGAGCTTGAAAAGTATTGTTGTAAGGCAAATTTATAGAATGCAGGGTTGCATTGTAATGA